TTAGTAAAAATTTAGCGAAACTAAAGGTTTTACCATTTTGCCAAATCCAAAATGAGTTTAGACAAGCAACCTTAACTATGATATTGATAGATTAAGAGATATTCCACATGAGTATCGTAGACCTAGTATCCATAAAAATCAGATGGCTATCTGTTTCAAATGCTGAAAATTGATAAAAATTGCCGAAGTAAAGCCAATAAAGGTATATTATAGTGGATGGGGTAGATGGGCCTATGAAGTTAAGTCTGAAGATTTAATGAAAAATCATTGGGATTGCTCTTGCTTCAAGATTAATAAACATAAAGAAGCCCATATTCTCGCAAGCTTAAGTCAGAAATATTGTATGAAAAATCTTCTGACCGGAGGGGGGTATTATATCCTAAAAAAATACACTGCCCTGGAATTCCCTCCCGCAGTTTGATAGAACAAGTGGGAGCGAATTATTTATCTCATCTATATATGCAAAACAAAATAACTTAAACCATTTTAATCAGACAAAAGGTATCACGTTAAGATTGAAAGATGGAACAAAAGTTACGATTGTTTAACCGGATTGACTGACTGATTCTGAAAAATATGTTAATATAGACTATTACTTTTTTGATATATAGTATATCTTTATTCACATTTTTTTTTGACAAAAACCGTTCCCTTAGGGAACGATCAGCAAAAATATTAATAAAAAATAGCCAATACATGTAGGTATGTGCGACAGCTGTTAAGATGCTAAAGCATAAATAAACATGTTCCTGATCCTCGTTAAAGCTTGTAAAGTGCATATATGATGTAATAGTGATACATTGTTAATCATTTGTGTAACTATCTGCTTGTATGACAAAATAATTTCAGACATATAAAAAACCATATATGCATTACCTCTAATGTCTTTTTAAATGTCAAGATTTTCAATACACACCCTACATGCCCTTATTCTCGAACACAAATTTTAGCGTAAAGTGTCTTACATATTTCTCCTATCTACCCCCAACATGAATTATGTGTCCAGAGAATCATAAATGGAGACACTTAAAAGGGTAGTATAGTAAAATTATTATGCCTTTACGTTATTTTTTTACTTCGCTTAGCAGAGCTTTTACTAACATTTAACTTTCACTCTATTAAAACATAGAAGAATTCCTTTTAACGAAAGAGCCTCTTGATATCGTCAGAATCTTTACGGCATTATTTGTACGAGTAGAGGAAGGTGAATGGACAGGCAATCTCGAAAAGGAGGTGGAGAACTTTGAAAATGTTTTGAAGCTAGTTTTAAAACAAGTCCCTTCAAAGAATATTGAGCGGATAAAGAAGCTTCGAAGTTTTGGTACTGGGAAAAATTAGCTAAACGGGTAAGGTGATAAACTATTTTCATGATGATTATATGTATATGATGACATGCTTTTTTTAGGTTTTCTAGTGTGATATAATCACTAGCGAAAAGGCTGATGTCCGTTGTAATATTATTACTTCCCGCACAGCAGTAACTAGTTTTATACCATATATTAGCATATATGATAGCTATATATCAAACATTTTGCCGGCATTTGAAGCTTTATAAAAATGGAAACCTAATCTGATTCTGCGATGTAATATTAAATTATTTGTCAAATAAGTCTTGAGAAACTAATATTAGATACATTTTTAGGTCGCAACCGCATTTGAAGATTTTTGTTCACTCTCAGAAATGGAAGCGTTAGTAATTGATACTGAAGTTTGGTATGAAGATGCAAATGCGAATTTACGATCTTTGAAGCGAGATGTTGGACAATGTAAAAGTGGGAGCGTTAGTTATGAGAAACTATGTGGGAGAGAATAGAAATAGAACTTGAAGAAATAAATGTGAAGAACCTTGGATTTGATTATCCGATTTGTTCAGGTGTTCTAGATATCAAATCAGAACCCTTTACAAATATACCTGGATCAGTTTCTGATATTTTTAAGGAGTCATTTCGAAAATATAGTTAGAACAGAATCATGATATAATGGAAGCTTGTAAAGAATTTATTCAAAACGAAGAATTAAAAATTAACATAGACGAGGTTTTGGGTAATATTAATTATCAAGAATTGTTGGATAAGCCTGAAGAATTGCAAGATCTAACAAAACGGATGTTAGAATCTATGTAAGTCATCGGCAAGCAATTCTTACCAAAATCTGTTTATATGATTTTTTATTTTGCTCACTAACCAATAAATAATTATAGGCTTAAGGTTTAGAAATCGCCAAAATATAATGCATATATAAAGAAAGGAAAATCGATAAATGAAGAATCATATGTTTGTGAGATGCTTGCGTCATTATTAAATATAGTGATGAGCGATTTACCAGGAAACCCGATAGCATGAGACATATGGTAGGCTTAGCTCAAAAAGTTTCATTACTTCACTATCATATCTGCTATAATTAATGTTTTCTAAATTAAGGGGTGAAGAAGGAAGTTCAGCTAGTGTCATACGAAAAGGTTCTCATAAAATTGCCTGAAGAGCTGATTATATGATGGTAGCCCAGTTCAGAAAAAATGCTGAACTTGAAATTGTTTATCTTGAGACTGGTAGACCTAATTCCAGTTAAGATAAGCAGGATCGAGATCACAAAAAATTAATACATTTTTCTAAGGATTCTATCGACACTACGAGAAACATAAAAAACCTTAAAAAGATATTTAACCAACTATCAAGGAGGCAGAATCTAACCATATTCACTATTAATATCGCAGGTACAAATAAATTATTTCTATTTTTTATATAATCATAAACCGTTCATATTTTACTTTATCCACTTCTAGGTGATGTTATGGAACTTTATGCTATGCAAAAAGAATCGGGTATTTATAAGTACTGTTTAATAGAGGAGGCAACAATTCCATTACATATGACTTCACCAAGTGCTATATATCGGCTTATCCATACTTTATTAACATTGAGAATGGCTGTAGCTTGTATAATTCATAAAATATTATATAGTCCTGACTCTGGGGATAGTGAGCATAGTTCTAGTTAAATGGTAGTAATGGTTTCAACCCCCAAAAATTTATAGAATAGAGTTCGATTTTCATGCATGTAATTATTAATAAAAAATTTTCTTGGCAAAAACCTGTTAATATTGTTAACAATCAAAGTCACATGATTTTTTTGCTGACCATTGGTCAGGATGTCACGTGAAATTCTTGATCAGAGCTAATCACCCAATACTTGTATAGTGTGAATATAATTATAATAAAAACAATATCATCATTTTTGGAGGAAAATTAGCCAAGAGACGCTTTGCATAAATTAGCTTGACTACTTTTTTCCTTGCGCTTCTGCTTCACCTCTATCTCTTTCTGCAGGTTCAATGGTGTATCAAACCTTAGTCGAATTGCAAGAGGATCATCCTCAGGTCTACTGAGATCAAATACAACAAACTCATCCTTTTTGCGGAGATAGCTATTAATGACCATTGATGCATTTTTTACATTATCAGTATAGCGCCTGGCATTTGTGTAATACGTCACACAACAGGGAAAGTATCACGTGAGGGCGCAGTATTAGAATTGGTGACGCAAATTTAATCAGTAAAGTGGCTTATCATCTTTTTAAATCTTTTCCGTTATCAAAAACAATCTTACCAAAAACAACAAATTGTCATTATATACCGGTTCGTCAAATGCTAGCTTTAGCAGTATTAGCTCAATAAGAACAAGGACAAGTTCTGTGTAAGTAAATATGTGCAACCATTACTCCTTATATTTTCGCTAATCTTTCGGAGATACTCTTAGGAGTAGTGATGCGGTTCCAGAACGAATGTCAGATTTTTTCTTTGTTCCAGAACGAATGTCAGATTGTTTCTTTTATCGAAACTTGTGGTGGGAGAAGGGAGAATTTAGCGAAAAGGCAAAGTGGGAAGAAGTAACGTAAGTCTCTTTTCCCACTTGTTTGACGTTGATATTTGTTTTAGTGGCTGATATAAATTGTTATTCATATATATAAGATTACCTTATGTGCTT